CCTTATAACACTGTAAGAACATTAAATTCAAAAGAGCAGAGAACACTAAAATCAGACTAGGTAGAGCATGGAAAGCAAAAAAGATTACTTACGAACCAAGATTTTGAGAACATACATTCCATGTTTTGCAGCTGGGAAATATCCAATTCCATGAGTCTTAAAAAATCACATACCAGGACTGTAGTCCAAGTCCCAAGGGTATCAGTGGAACCTCAGCCATTTCACAGGGGCTACTCACATAAGTAACGCTGAAGAATCAAGATTTAAGATACACCAAGACCATGGAAATAACACCTGTGATACCGTTCTCCTAAAGTTATACTAGTACCACAATTACAGTGTTCTACTAAATTCCAGTGTTCTACTAAATTGCCTTTACTAAAGAAACTGCAAGCGTCTGTCTTAGTTACTACAGATAATTCTATTCCATGGCCTTTTTATTAGTATTTATAATTCAGTTAATAAATACCTTATTTCTCAACCACTTCCTTTTTTTTTTATCTGAATAAAGTCATGACCTTTGGGAAGAGTAGAAGTAAACATAGTTTCTACTTCTGCATTCTACTTTCCTGCTCTGTGATGTCCCCAAATAAAGGTATATTAAACAAGATCTGTCCCTATCAAAAATATTCTCAAAGCATGGTTAAAATAAAACTATCCCAGAATGAAAACAGCTCTGACAAATCTACATTACAGTTGCAGCAAAGTCCTTTGGGCACACTACTGCACATTGTGCTGCTTGGGTGGTTGAATACATGAGAATCAAAACAACCCTGAGGTAGTCTATTATGGAGCAATACATGCCTTATATTGTGTTTTGTACTCAGATGAACCACACAATTATCAAACTAACACTTCATTCACTTTATCTCATTGAACCTAACCTATACCATTTTACAATTCTACACTTACTTGAGCTACTTCAGCTTAATAGTAAATTAAAAACAGAAGTTTTATGAACTCCTGTTTTGGCTAAGAAAGTAACTTGTTTTTGCCTGCTGTAAGATTTGCAGGTTAAACACTCTCATTACTTTTGTGTGTGATGTCAGCAGGACCAGCTGAGTTAATTTAAGGATTCAGTATGTAGAGAACAAATCTCCACAATTGTTATTTTACTGCTCCAGAAACACTTATGGCTTTTCTTCCCTTTGTACATGGATCCACTGGATCCTTTATAGCTAATCTTATAAAGGACTGAAACCTAAAAATATAGTGAATTGGAGAATTAAATGCAAAGTTTGGAAAAAGTGTAATTAAGAATAACATCTACACCTGGTAAAACTGAAGTGCTAAATATTTTGACCAAACGGTGTTTGGTACCACTGCTTATTTTAAACTAAAGTTTCTGTAGATTAAAAGGCTTATTTAACTGGCTAAGAGCAGCAACAGCCTTGAAAATCTCCACAAGCAAGATAAACTGTTATACTAATAGTTCATTTCAATGAAATTCATGGCATACTACTCAAGGCAAACACTTCATAAAAGCATTGTTTTTGCATCCATATCTGAATCACAACCAGTCTTAGCTGCTACTAGAGATTTTGGTCACCTGTGAAGCTGTAATATATTGCATGGCTTTGAGATTTCCCTTTACATTTTGACTCTTCATTCTTCTTTGTTCAAGTAATAAGTTTTCTTGTCAAAGGGAAACAGGAATATCTTGCTGGACATTCCAGTAGATAGATTTACTTTCTTCAGGTAATGAGGATTAAAAAACTATTTGCTAAAACATTTTACTAACACAAATGCTTCTGCATCTGTGTCCAGGTAGTCATATAAATCAGAATGATGTCTTTTCCTGGAAAGCATGGCACATTGGACACTTAACAAAACACTTTACACGCTACTTTAAATTTATTAGCTACTTTCCTAGTATTGCTGAAAGAGAAAGTCACTGTCTGAAGGTCTGTGTTCGCTCCATATATGCCAAATAGATCTTTTTCTTTCCTCCCAAAGGGTACCATTCCCAAGGATTAGCTGTTTCCTTATGCAATTATACAGTAGAAAGCATTTATACTTTATAGTAACCAGAAATTGTTACGATCCTCAGGCAAACACTTACTAAAGAGGGTAACTTCCCAACTATAACAAGCTCTGGAAGTGAGATGTCATTAGCTGAAGCCTTGAATCCAGAGATGGACAAATCCAGAAAGAAGGTGCCTTTAAACAGATGCGTTCTACCTTTCAACTACTTAAAATTCATAAAATATTTCCTTAATGTATAAAAAATGAATATTTACTGCTTAGGTATTGTGGGAATATAAATGTTGCTTTTGCAGAGTTACATTGTTTAGAAGGAAGGAATGTGGTATTGTGATGCTTGCAGCGATAAGAAAGCTCAACAAACAACCTTGTAAAATGCAGACAACCGGACTCCTTAGAGCAATTAGGATAAAATCACAGTGTTAAGTCAAGTCAGATAAGTGAAGAAATATTACCAATTTAAACAGTAAAAGTGTCAAAAGAAATTTGAAATTTAACAGGCCAGCAACTGAAGGCCATGCATTGTCTGTGAAGCATCAGATAGATTGTGAACCTGGATTACTCACTCAGTGGGGAAACAGGGGAGGGTCCTGTCATCAAAAGGTATATAAACTGTGTTTTGAAACTAGTAGGCGCGGTCTCCTGCTTGTGGGGTGCCCGCCATTGCAATCGCGAATAAATTACTACTTCACTGAGATCCTCGCCTGAGCCTAAGTTATTGGCTACGGAGTGTTTCTCACAGGTATCAAGTCTGCTGCAAGATCTGTGAGCATCATTAGTAACTGTAAATACATCCTCCTGAAACATAAAGGATTTACTCTTTTAACAAGAGTAGTAGTCATTTGCCCTTGACTTTGGCATACGCAAAAGTTGATTTCCCTTTATGGGTAAAACTTACCGAGGAAAAAGGAATATAACTGGTTCCACATGTTAAATTTCTCAAGTTTCATCTAGGCTTTGACTCTTTAACTGAAGTCCTGAATATACTAGCTGTCAGGCTGATATTAATGATAAAGCCTAATTAGAAGGGAAGACCAAACTGACTGACTTCAGTCAAAAACTCACCCCCTAATGCTCCAGTAGCACCACTAACTGCACGTGCAAGGACAACACAATTCACAATCACCAGGTAAGCCAGTAACCATACTGGAGTCTGCCAGTGTCAGTTCTGGTGCCTACACATCCCTGCTGACTCTTCCTTTTTCTTCCATTTGCACATCTGACTTGGTGCCATGCTCCACAAGAGAAGCTTTATCTTTTTTTTTTCCCCCGTGTGCAAACTAGAAAGATTTTTAGCTATGAATTTTTGAAAGTTAACCAAGATATTTACTTAGTGAAGATTTTATCAGCTTTGCCTTAATTGCTAGAAGGGAATAACTAATGATAAAAATCATATGCCTTATTAATATATAAATAAATTATGATAGCAGCCTTTCTATCTCTCGGAAGTTGGCTGAAAAGCATATTGTCATGGCTGGATGGCATTTACTTTTCTATTTGTCAATATTTGTAGAATTTTATTACTTGCCGTGCCAAGTTTAAAATGGCTAATGGAAATATTAAAATGGAATTAACCTAACTAAATAAAACTGGTTTGGTGTTATTTCCCTGGAAGTGACTTAATGTGCTTTCCAAAACAAAGCACGGGGGAAAAAGTGGGTTATATCCAAGCTTACAAGTTGTTAATTTACTTATTCACTTTCAGAAACTTTGTTTTCAAAGCAGAGGCCAGTCATAGTGCTTTATAAGAACTGTACCTCAAATATTTACATTTTTATTTACACAGAAGAGAAGGTTAAAAATGGCCAGAGGGTTCCCAGGCCCTCAAACTTATCAAATGTTCTACTTCAATTGCCACTGTACTATTGCTCTTTTCCTAATGGCCCATGCCAGTAACATCACTGCACTGAAATAAGTCACTGCTACAAAGTTTTGCCAGCCTTACAGTGTTAGCCGTACATGTAAAAACACACACTTCTAGTTGATATGAGGGTGCTAACAGAACTCCAGCAGTCAAGAGAAGACCTCTGTCAAAAGAGGAAACCTCTTGTCAGGTTAGTTTTGCTGTCTGCAGTGACAGCATAAGTCGTCATACAAGTCAACGCACACGTCATCTGTGGGATGAATACAGCTCTCATTTCCTGTACGGCATTCCACCATCACAGCCACAATAGTTGCTGTTCAGAGACATTAGTAGCTGGAATATTGCTGGGCAATCCATAAAAGAATCAGAATAAAATGATTAAAAATTAGTGCATGAAAAGTGTAAAGGTAGATCAACTTTTGAAAAAGATAGAAACCAGCATATGAATTAATTTATTAATTCTTATTTTGCTTTTAGCCAGTTAAATAATATGTTGTTATTCTCACTTCATAGATAGGACAACGAACAGACTAACGTGGCTTTATCCAAGGTCCTTTGACACTCACTGGTAGCTACTATTAAAACAAGCTGCAACTTTTCCTCATTTGCTGATTATAGGGCCGTATTTCTTCCTGCCTTCATTATCTTCAGTGGCACCCTTCATTCTTTCTTTAGAATGTTCTATGCACCAGGTCAACTGAAAAACTCAGACTGACAAATGAGTTGTGTTCTGCAGGCAACTGTGGTATCAGTACACTACCACGGGATGAAATCCGTATAGTTTGTGATTACTTCGCTGTGAAGCAGTGACTAAGATGACTGGCTTTGCCTCATTGTCATCTAAAGCCAGTAGTGGCTTTAAGGTCTGTAGCATAACTGAGTCAACCTAAGTATGATAAAAAAGATCTGCAGAACATGGATGCAAAAAGCCAAGATGCTTATCCATATCCAAAAACCTGAGTCTTTCAATGTCAACTTACATTACATAAGGGTAATAGGATAACATGATCCTTAGTCTAATTCTGCTTTGCAATTGCTTGCAAAATTATGCAGCTCGTGACAAAGTTCAGCCATACACATTTTTTCTGATTAAATCTCATTGTTAGCAGTGTAGCACTAGCTGGGTAACCTGCTAGCACTGAATGTATTAATGCAGCAGTCTTCTTCATTCCAACTTTTTTATTTTTCTGTACCGTGAATTGGTACATAAAACATTTCATGCCTACACTGTTCAACAGACTCCACATTCAAGACCACATAACACAATTCAAAAGTTAAAACAAATGCACTTGAACTCAGAATGAAATGCAGTGGTTGGTTTTAGTTTGTCACCACTCTCCCTTGCACATTTCCTTGAAGCATCAGCTCTTCCTTATCAGGGATGTCTACTTGCAAAAACACTTGCCACGCTACTGTCACAGCAAAGGTCACCTCCAAAATTACACATGGCTCTAGGATTAAAACCTTGAATCCCAGCACTTGTATCAAAAGTATTAGAGTGATACATTGCAAAAATGTAATAGCATATAATGATCTACTATCTGCAGTTAAATGTTATCATTACATGGTCACTATGACAGAAAGATCTCAAGTTAACAGAGCCATGCCTCCTGCAGTTACAAGGAATTACAGGAGTGTTGAGCTTACACTAAGATTTATGTACCGGGTGTGGCTTTCCATTCAAGAATAATTCTTCTCAGAAACTTATGAAATGTGTTGACAACAAGTACTTAAACACTTCAATAAACTACAGTTTTTCCTGCAGTCTCCTAGGCTATGATTCACTTGTTCAGCCTCAATGCTCCAATATTGCCAACTGCAACGCAGATCTTGGTGTTGTGGTCCAGTTTAGGTACATGCAGGTATAGTCTTGTGTGGATTAGCTTCTTCCACAGCAAAAAAATATTCAAGTCCCTGCTCTGGACTGGAGGACTTTCGTCAGATTGGGCCAAACCAGATGAAAAAACACCTCTTCAAACTTATTTTCTATATGCCAGTTCAATATTATAATAACCTAAAGAAAATACCATGACTTCTTTGAAAAATATTCTGTTGGTTTTAATTCTGACAGGACAGCATCATTTTTTTTTTTAGCTAAACAGTCCATACAAGATCTTTAAATTGATTCCTTTAAATCAAAATCACAGAACCTCTTCACTTAGGAAAATTTTCTAATGCTAAAATGATTACATTTATAAGTACTGTATCCAAGATAAACATTAAAGGTATTGTCTGTATAAGCCAGTGAATTTGCGCCAAGAATTCAAAAGATTAGCTGAACCTTGACATCTACACTGCTGCCAGTTTGGTGCCCTAGGGTCCATGTGTTTTCTCCTTCCAGGAACTGCTCCAAATACTGAGGTTTTTTGTTTGTTTCTTTTTAAGCATGTAGGTACCATCAAGACGATTTTGTGGCCTTCATATTTCCAGGGGATTTGATTCTGCGCAGCTCATAGCCTGGAACACTTCTCAAGCTTGTCATTATGAGCCTTCAGGTCTTCCTCCCTCTCATCAACACGGAGGAGGTATACTGACAGCAGCTCATTGTCATTCCCATGTGCTTTTCTGATTGCCTGAAGTGCTATTTATGCACTTCCATTATCAAGTCATCCTTATTCGTCCTGTTGCTTTGCCATCAAATTCAGAATCTTGTCACTGACACTGATGAGTGATCTCCTTGTTTGCCTGGCCATTCCTTGACAGCTCTAATACTGTTGCACTTTTTCCTGACAGATTGAGGAGGGAAAAAAATGGCTAGTGCCCTTGAAAATTCATCAATTTTGTTTTCTGTCCACAGGCTTGCACATAATATCATTGTGCACTGTTCCTTTTTCTTATTATTGTGCCAAACTTTATTTTACACTTTTGTAGAGCTATCATCCCAACCAAGGAAATGGCAAGTGAACTTCACCTTCCAACTATCCAGCATTTTGGTAGTTTGGGAAGGAGATGAGGAAGCAATGAGCAAAGACACCCAATAGAAAGACAGCACTGCAATAAGTGGTATTCTCTAGCCATCTTTCAGCCTGATGCCATGCCGCAATACATTATAAAGGCCCAGGTATCAGAATCAGAATGTCTACTTCAGGCACCTAAAATGGAATCCTCTGTGACAGAAGTGTCTGCATCTTCCTGCAGACTCCAAAAAGAGCAATGCCTGAAGTTCAAAAACACTGGCCAAGGGATGTTTGCCTTAACAGAATATTTTAAAGAATAGATGAAATTGGAATATCACATAGAATGTAAATAACATCTCAACACTCCAGAAACAGGTAAGTCACATAAATAACAAAACCCCTTCTGCATTTGTGGTAGGGTAGCTCAAGGAAAGGGTAGTTCGACACAGTGACGAGTGCCCTGAAGTGCGGTTCTACAGTAGCCAAGGCTGGACACGATTACCATTTTCTGAGATGATCTTTTAGGTTCATTCCTTAAGCTACCACTTTTGCCCTAGAAAAGTTATTTCCCACAGGCCAAAATCTTGCTGTTTCACACATGAAAATGGGTAAAGCCAGAAAGACTGCCGAGTGCATGTGGAAGAATCACACAGACAAATAGAGCAGTATGCAGTAACATGTTTGTCTGTGGTTCTTCCAAGCATACACAAGTGCAAAGTTGTAACACCTAATGAGCAATGACAAATACTGCAATACTTAAACCAGAATAAGGCATTAGACATTCTGATTAAAAAATATAAAAGTAGTCACAAATCAACAACAAGTAACTAAGTCTGTCTAATCTCAGTATTAAAAAGATCACATTGATAATATTGTTGACATTCATTTCAGAGTGCTACTTTCAGTTCTCTCTCTAACAACTTAGCCTTTGCTCACGTGTCAAGGTGAGCTGCCACTTTTGATGTAGGTACTTTAAGTCTACCATGTGTTAATTCTATTTTGCAGTTCATCAGTAAGTAATTTTGCTAATTTCATGTCAATCCAAAGACAGCACCTATATATAAGTTAGCACAAACACAGAAAATGATCTTAACATGAGAATGAGGTGCCCTGCATGCTCAAAGTTTACTGCCAAGAGCTTTTTATAAGAGGTACCTCAAATACCTGAGGAATCATATATGCTGTTGAATTATGCTTAGCCATCTTGTTCTGCTTACATACTGCAGACATTGCTGTTGAACTCTCCTCTAGGCATGGAAAGCATCTTGAAATTTCAAAGGCAAAAGTAACGTGTAAAAAAGTAACTTGCAAAACATTGGTTGGCAAGATTGATACTGAAAGTAAGACAGCTAAGTTATCAGTTCTGTGTGCATGCAAGACATTCAATGAAAGAAAAATAAAATATGGTTGATTCAAACAAGATAATCTGGGCATTTTTAAAGAAAACTGAGGCCATAGTTTCTGTAAGTAGTCAGGCAACAAACTGGTTATACATATTCAAGACTAACTTTAATAGTTAGACTATATTTAATTATTTTATGTCCTGAAAGGTTCAATGTTTGTTTGTTTTTTTTTCCTCACTATTCCTTATATTGAGAAACAGATCTTGGATTTGCTATTTTATAGTAAGTAGCGGGGAGGAAGACTGAGGATTTTTGTTACTGCAAAACTGGCACACCAGTTCTTTGTGAAAGGTACTTGCTCATCTCATCAGATATCTCGCGTACTAATTAAATTGATGGATTATTGGACAGGGAGAAGTCTTCAAAGCTGTTTTAGGAATGCTGGAGGCATTCTGTAGAAACAGAAATGCAAACAGCTTGATGGTTAATGGGATACAACTAAATGCACAAGTAGTATGTTACAATACTGCCTATGGGCTATTAGAGAACCTTCCCTCTCCCCTAAAATACACATATTAATGGTGATACATTAAGGAATGTTTCAGCACTTCATCGTGCAGCTAGCTTATTCTTTAGGAAAGTCTGTTCTTTAATCACATTTATTTACCATATATTCGCTTGTAAGCGGCACTGACATGACATCCCAGCCAGGTGTTACTTGCATATAGAATCAAATACCAAGTCAGGTATAGTGCAATATAGTGCAAACACCAATTATTGCCTCCAATATTCTATTAAAATAAAATAAATACAAAAGATATATAGAGAGAGATGTCCGATTTACCTGAAAAAGAAAAATCCTAGCCAAAGTGTTACTTCTGTTTAAGCATACACGCAGTTTGATACCATGGTGCCCAAAAAGTATTTAGCAATACCAGAACCATATTTGAAGTATGTGAGAAAATAGAGACCTGTGCATTCTGGCACAATGCAACTATCTGACAATTTCATATTTAAAAGCTCCACACAGCTCAGATAAAATAAAAACACTTCCATGTTCTCACAGTGCTCTAGAGCATGAAGTCAGATTTCAGTGCTGACCGCCACATAATGGAATGGGACACCATGCCCTCCCTTCCACCCCCACCCCTCAAACAGGGCCTCAGGTTCTGGGAGACTTAACCACACCAGCCACTTAGTCCCTAGCTTCAGTCTTGCTAACTCATAGCAAGGAGAACTAAAACAAGAAAAAATTTCTAAAGTTATTACGCAAGAGACTTGTGCTCAAATCACAATTCCTACGTGAAATCTACAATCACAAAATGTACAGTATGTAGGGTTACCAAGCATCTTCATATTGATGGAAAGAAGTTAGAGGAACGTATAGCATACTTGAGTCTCAAAAGATCATGACTTACCGAATGGTTTTGAAGTCACTGACCATAATGGGACATCAGCTTTCTGGTTACCCACATACACAGAAACTGTTCCTTGCAGCTATGACCTTATGGTGGAGAAGGAGCAGGATTCTGTTACCTGGGGAAAAAACAAAAGGTAAACTTCATACATGGCAGTAGAAAAGGGATAAAAGTTGTCAACCCTGCTCTGTCTCTGAACACTGCTAGGACAGACCACCTTTACAGATTCTGAGCAAGGCAGAGGCATGACCAGGTAAGCCAGTGCAGGGCACAACTCACATCACTGCAGAACAGTGTCAGCTTATACCACTTAGCAGTTCACCTTTAAAAACTTTACTGGATGCCACTTGTCACTCATCACTAAAACATTTATTTCACAAGGATGTAAGCCTTGACACCACAGTGATTTAGACTGAACTGAGAGAAGCAGCTCAAGGCTACACAGCATTTATGTCACACGACCTCCAACAAACATGTGCTAGGAATGCATTAAGAATAATCACTTCACTAGTACTTTGAAGTTTTTTGTTAGGCTGCGATTGTGATACAACACAGCCACTAGATGATGATAATTGAAAACAAATTTGCTAAACATGCTTTTGCTAGTTCTCCTCTTAGAAGGACTGATAAATGACAAAGATTTAGCTGTCAGCAGATATGCACAGACAAAAAGTTGCAACGGTGTTAGAAATTACATACAATGAAGCTGGAACCTACTTCATGCTTTCAGCTAAAACCAAAACAATTTCAGATGGTGATGGCAATTAATTTGAAGTCACTTATTCTCCAGAACAAATTTGAGCCATGTATTTGATGGTATTCAGCAGCTTAGTGTGATTTTTCTGACCTCGTTTATGAACAATGGCAGCACTCCAGTTTAATGAAATGAAGAGAAATGATAGAGAAGCTGCTATACTGGACTCTGTCATTTGTAGGAAATTAAGATAACGCAATTACTATTAATGGATTTAAAGTCTGGCAAGTCAGCCCTGTTAAAAAACACACCCATCTAAAATACCAGATCAGCACAGAACCTGTAACTGATCACTGTTCTAGGAACTAAACACCTTTTAAAGTTGTTTTTTAAAAACGGAAGGGGAAATATTGCAGAGTATGTTTTTACTACAATAATTCTTGTAAAGAAAATGTGACAAAGCCTTGGTGTTCCTTGACTCACTAACACTGATTTTATTCACATGCATGAGGCAATACCAGTGTCTAGCTCAATAAGAATGCTCTTAGGTCAAATTCGCTTTCCATTTTACAGTGTGCAGGAGCAGAAATCATTACAGGAGAGAAAAAATAGCTGCTTCCCAAATGCCTGACCAGTATGACTGCCCTCTGGATGGCTGTAGAGTCCTTGCTACCAGGAAGTTAGAAGTATGCCTTGGTGCATTACCTACACGAAGGCAAACTGCATACTTCAGGAAAGGCTCGTATGACTCCACCGGTAACGACCCCAGCAGAGACAGAACTTATCTGGCAGAAACATTACTTTGACAGTACAGTTAAACTGTGATTTAGAGACCACATGCCCAGCTCTTACTGCTAAAAATTTACTGCTGCAAGTGGAAAGGTAGCCTGCTGCTACAGTATTGCGGTACTGTGTACTGTAATTGTGCCTACTTCAGCAGGACACAGGCTGGTGACTACTGGAGAAAGCTTCCACTCAAAGCTTCTGGCTGGCTAGAGAACGGACCTGGTATGTTTGCTTTAAAGCAGGATCTGGAACAGCTGAAGGATGAGGTCGAACAAATGCTTTAGAAAAAGGCTTAGATTGCTCTTGGCACCTTGCTTTGGAAGTGCATTTCACACAAGCTGTCAGCACAGGGCTGTGCGGACATGGGTACCTATACGTAAAAAGCAGGTATCACCTTCCCTGCTCAGGCCCCCAAAGCCATATAGTGGTTCACAAACCATTGCTGGTGTTTGGCACTGTCTCATTGATCAGAAAGATAGATGACAGGCAGGAACAAAATCAGGACTATTTATGGTCAGGAAACTGTTTAATATTAAACATTTTTTCCCCTTCTCCCCCTGGGAAGGACAAACATTTCTGCTAAAATAACTTCTGGGGGAGCCTTGTTCTTTTTAGGCCACTAACAAGCTTCCTCCTAAACAGGTGAAATTCTCATTCACAAGGAAACCTTCCTCATGCTCTCCAACAGTACCAAACAAGCAATCAGGGCCACTCTCAGACAAATAGACTAGAGAAACTGCTGACAGCATGCTGGAAGAGGAGCTTTCAGCAAAAAGCAGTATTCAGCATCATGCCTCTTCCAAAGTTAAAATCATCAGCCAAGCAAATTATATTTCTTTAAACCCTGTTATTTGATAAATTCTTAAACTAGGTATACATGAAAGGACAGCCTGATGCCTAGAATGAAACCAAAAGGTATCCTTCCTGATTGCTTTTATTTTTAGTTTAATTTGTGAGTACATCTATTCCAAGCAGATTTAACATAAATCATAAGAGGCATAGAAGTCATTCCATTCACACTGGAAAGAATTGATCTCTAATACCATCTACTTCAGGATACTGCTTATTAAGAAAAACAAGCTACTGAGGACTTCTCTTGCATTAGTAGTTTTATCACTTTCCTACAAGCAGGAACAATGGATTTTTACTAAGCCAGATCAGTCTTTAAGAAGTTGGCTTAATTTATGAAGACGTTGTTTTTTTTCCCATGATCTAGAACCTACAGAGCCATCCCAGTGCTTTAATGACCCTTATATACACATTTTGTTACCCTTTACATAGGATACTACTTTGCATTGACTGTAAAGTAAAAATATACAGTCAAGCAGGTACTGAGAAACAGTGAATCCTGCAGTGCAAGACACCCAAATGTTAGTTACTTATTCCTGCTTATCTGAGCCAGCTGAGGCTTCAGGAGAGAAAGTAGCCATATTCCATTATCTAGGTACTTCCTTACTATTTTCTGCTAGTGCCTTCTGAAGAATATTTTGACCAGGCCCTGGAACCAAGAAAGTTAATATTCCACAAGAAAGTTGGACTGGAGTTTCATTTGTTGATTCTCAATAGGCTTTGCTTATCAAATATTCTCATTTCAGCAATTTCTACCGTTTATGGCAACACAGTTCTGTATTACAATAAACCACTCTTCATGGTTTAAGAGAATATAAAATTAAGCATTAGCCAGGAAATATTACTACTGCTACCAGACATCTGTCAGTGCCACATGACCCAGTTTGGAATAATCTTTCCCTCTTCTCCCACCTCCCTGATTTTCATGGAGATTTTGATTTTCAACTCACATTGGAGTTACTTTTTATTAAGTTCTGGGACCTACAGATAAGCAAACTGGGGAATTTCTTTTTACACGTAGCCCTCAGCATACTTTAACCCATTTTGGACACAAATTATATTCCTAATGCACAGTGCTGGGCTGGTCAAACTTATCTGCCATTGTTCACGGAATCAAATACTCAAATGTAGCAGTCTTCCTTTCTCAGCCCTGCACTATCATACATACCCAGTCAGCTTCCACAGGCAGTCCCACTGAAAGTGAAGTAGGGTTGGCTTGTTTGGAGCACAAGGAAACACTTGCCAAGTCATTAGACATCTTCCTTGATACATTTAGCTTTTTTGATCTCACAGGTAATCTGAAAAGTTTTAGAGGATTTTTTGTGGTTATGTAGAAACTGTTACTTAGGGCAAAGAAAGCCCCAGGCGAGCTGAACTGAAAGAAAAACTGAATTGAAATGCCTTTTAAAAGCCCTCCATCAATCCAAATGTTGTGGATGATGAATCAATTATTTCCACTAATCTACACATATATATTGTATAGGTTAGTAAAATTCCATTTGAATTTTCTGCAAAATACAAGATAGCTGTTGCTGAAAGTAGCTCAGCAACAGCAAATTTTCTTGACTTCATAAACTCTAGTAACTTAAAATTACGTACTTGTTGAATTCATGGCTCAGTCCTTTGTGACCATCTATCTTTTCCAGGGGGACTCCACTAAAGATTTTCTGAGTATTTGCCTTACTGTTGGTTTATAAAGTGACTACAGCACACAGATGTCTTTCCAAACCATCCAGCTCCTCCTTTCTCCCTCAAATAGTCCTCCTCTTTGATTTATTCCCGAGTTAGTTTCTCATAAGTAGTTCAGATTCCTAAAACTATACAGGAGACCAAGCACTGAAGAATGCAGCTACACATACCTCATTGAGACAGTTACCCAATATCCTGGGCATCACTGAAGATCTCTTTAAGGATATACACATTAAAAGATTCTTGTTGCTTCTGTATGACATTTTGGGTAGGGTTGTTGCAGTATGAAATTATGGGAGAGCTTTCTGTGATTTCTCAACCAGAAAGGTTTGGTAGGTGTGGCTTACCTCTAATTTAGCCCCCATTGAGTTCCCTGCTTTTGATTCTCACAGGGGACTTGCGGAGGCAAGAAAATGAAGTCCTTATTAAAGCACCAGGTGTATTTTTTACTTGCTGTTCTTCAAACAAAAAAGTCAGAGGCTCTAATTTTACAGTCTAATTACTTTATCATAAAACAGTATCTGGAATTCATGTGTTGGGAAGTAGGAGAATAGGTGGGAAGACACAGGTATGAATGATTTCTCTAAGTCAATAGATCTTTGAGACACTTCTACGAGACGCAGCACTCAATAGATTTTATTCATTATACTGATACTGCATCTGTGGCTCTAAGAGCAAACAGTACTTTAAAAAAAACTTTCTCTGACAGCTGGTATTTAAGTCTATATTTGACCAGTAATTCTATATGTTTGCCAAAATACAGCTGATTTACAAGAAAACTATTGAATTTCAGTATCTGATTAGCAGAGTAGCCTATTCAAAAAAATTACAGCTTGGATTTTTTTTTTTTTTTTTAATATTGAGTAATAGTAACTTGTGATATTGCCTATGTTTTTACAGGATATGTTAGTCTTTGGGGACTACAATAACCCTTCTTAAAGTATATACTTTCAAAATCACTTTGGCATTTCTCATACACTAGATAATACAGAATCAGGCAACGAGGTATGAGCTTCATTAAAGAGTTATTAAAACTGCGAGTGTTCACACTCAAAACAGGGACCGTACAGTTACTCAGTTCTTACAACATTTATCCTGGT